AAATAACGATTTCATCTCCCGATTCAGCACTCGGTTTATATGTTCCCTTTATATCCATGACTTCAACTATTTTGTTAGATAATCTGTAAAAGTATTTTGTATACTTTATATAATAATTTTACTTTTACGTATCACACTGCCGATAATAATTTTACTTTTACGTATCACACTGCCGATTTGTTTTTTATTCTACTACTGGTATATTCTAGTTGTAAATGTTCAATTTATTTGATTAGCCATTCTAGCTCTGAGTTACTCTTTATATAAGCATCAATATCGCACTGTACACTTTTATGACCTTTGAAGTTATTTTTACTGTTCTACCAGTCATATTTTTAATTTTCACTTTCGTTTCATCTGTAATTCAAAGTGTTTCCGTTACATAAGTGGCAAGGAAAACGGAGAAACAATCAGAAAGAGAGAGAATATTCAAATTATATTTTCTCTATATATTAAATATTGGTATTTCTAATTTATAATACATTTTAAAGTTATAGAATAAAAATATATATTAATCATATTTTTTATTAAAATATTTAATACTATACTAAAAATTTATATAAAGAGATGAAATTACAGTCACAGATAGTTTAAAGATACATATATTTATAATGAATGATATATATTTGTCCATAGTAGAGTCGCGTATCACGATAGTAGTCGATTAGTAGTCGGTAGTAGTCGCGCATGTCACGTGCTCACTGACTTAACAAATAATCATGTGTGTAACGTCAGTGTGGTAATACCGTGGATTGCATATAATATTTGTTTTGAAACAATTGACGCGATAAACAAATAGTAACAAATAACGTAAACGAATAAAATAAATGTATAATTTGAAATTATATCACTATCACACATGTTACTAACTTGTATACAGAGATATCAATATGAATAAATTTTGAATAGTTGCAGTTAAAAAAATCGCATAAAAATGTGCTATTATTTTATAATTCTATTAACCTTATGCATTTATTTTCTGTTTCTTTTTAGTCTTTAACTAAACTGAACATTTTATTGATTATTTCTTTTTTTATAATTCACTCATTCATTTTCTTAAAAATATACTATAATTGTTTGATATCTGATTACTTACACTTACATTGATTTATAACTATATAAATTTTAAGATGAAATAATTCTATTTGTCATAACATTACAGTAATTGATCTCTATGCGTATCGTATATATATTATTTTAAGTTTAATCTACGGTTTCTTTTATAAATAGGAAATTTATATTAACTATATTCTTATTTCGAAAGCAAGTAATATTCGTAAAATTATGTTGAAAAAAGTATGTAAATGTACAAAAAAGAAAGAAAAAAGAGTGTATTAAAATTCAATGCTCTGAATGCTCGTTTTACTGGTTAACCTTTTCTTATTTCTAATGAGACAAATGAGACAACCTTTTTGAAAGAGACTACAAATTTTCCTGTTGTACGCTAACCGTTCAAGGTTCTTAAAATTTAAATTCGATTACAAACAGGAAAACCTTTAGTCTCTTTCATTAATGAGGGAATTATGCTAGTTACATTTTAAGAACTATTATTTTTTACAGTTTAAGAACTTTGAACGCTTTGATTACAAACAGGAAAATGATGAGAAAAGATTCTAAAGAAAAAGCAGCAAGCAGATTTGAATTATCTTAAAGAATTGAAAAGTTCGCTTTTGACTATTTGTTTAATTTGTTAAATTGTTATAATTTTTAAACGATTCGACCATAAACGAAACAAAAAGTCTCTTTTATTAGTGGGAGAATTATGCTAATTGCATTTTCCCGTTTTAAGACAAATAAATTCATAAAGATGAAAAAGAGGAAAAGAAGAAGAGAGAAGACGAAAGAGATGTGTGTTAATATTAAACGCTTCGGATGCTCTTTTTGCTTTAATCTATTTAACTTTTAACCTTTCCTTAATTATTAAACATTCTGAATGAAGAATGTTGAGACAAACAGATTTCTGACTTTTTAAACATCATATTGAAGTCATTTAAAAGTGATGTCATAAAAAAATTATCATTCTATAAGATGTCTAAGGTAAACAGAACTTTGTGAAGTCTACTACATAAATATGCCATAATTTAATATCTTTATCTCTCATGGGAAATAAATCAAAATGTTTGTTTATATGTAAATTTGATAAATGTAAACTAAGATTTTCTAAATATTAATTAATAATATCAAGTGCACGAAAAATATAATATAATTTCGTACACGTTTTACAAAAAAGATTGGAAAGTTGGTGAAAATCATTTAACACATGTATACGCATACACACACACACGCGCGTGTGTCCTT